TGCACTTAGTAAAGGGATGATCTCTAAGCCCCCAGAATAGGATACTGTTGAAATGGTTGAACAAAGACCTTTTACTTTTATGGAATAGCCAAAGCACATGAAATATCGTACATATCCAAAATTGAGATTCATACCATTTGCCAATATAGATTGTACTAAGAGCATGACAAGTGTAGTTTGGAGCTTACACTTACGCCCCCACGCGGTCGCGTTCGATCCATCCCGGTAGCGGTTGCAAAACAGCGTGGACAGCACGTTGCAGCAGGATGGAATGGGCAGAATGCAGGCTACCTAAAATTGTGCAGTTTTCCAGGGCGTTAATGAGGTTTTTCTAAATCCCGACCCAACCATTTTGGAGGAAAAATACATGAACCTGCAGCGGGATATTTTGGGATGCAAGTAGGCAACTTGCACAACTTGTCCACTTGTGCCACTTGCAAGATATTATCAAAGATACAAGCTAAGCGCGAGTTGACGAAGATATTATCAAAGGTGCAAACTAAGCACGAGTTGGCAAGAATAATATCAACTATGCAAGCTAAGATCGAGTTGGCGACAACTTGCAAGGAAAGTTGTAAACTTATCCACTTGACGACAACTAAGCATGAATTGTAAACAACTAGCACGAGTTGTGACCAACTAAGCATAGGTTGTAAAGTAATGCTACTTGATCTTAAGGAGGTTTAAGTTTTGCCTATAAATAGAGATGGAAGTCTCATTTGTAAATCATGTAGAGTTGAGTGAGTTTATTCATTAGAGAGATTGAAAAGTTTTCCCTTTCATTTATACAAAGAAAGTTTCCTAACCTTACTTGTTTTTCATATATCCCTTACTTCAAAATTCTCTTCTCAAACGTGGGTATAATTTAGCTTCCTTGGTTAAATTATTTGTGAGCGTGAAAAGGCTAAATTAACATTTTCTCGTAAGGTGCGGGAATAGTCAAGCGTTAAGGCCGCACGGTTCTAGTTGTTCGGGTGTAACGAAACTAGGTCCGTGACATTATGCTATGAATTCAATAGTGTAATATGCTTTTCCATTGAGATCGTGCTGTAAGATTCAGAGAATAATCATAATTAAATGCATACACATCCATATAAGTACATAAATATACTTGTTAATAGTCTGTGCTGAGCAAGAAATTTGATAGGATATTTATATGATTAGTTGGCTATTGGCATTTTGAAATGTAAATGAATATCTTAGGAATTTATAAGGTGTGGTATCTCACAATACTTGAGTGTGTGCGCACGATTGCACATACTCTAATTTAGTAATTTTTGATACAATCATGGCATGTTTAATAAGGTCGATTAAACAGTAATACACAATACTAATAAAGAAAAAATTTGGTCTACTGTACTGTTACTGTGTTATATCCCGTCTAGTCCTCTATACTAAAAATGTAATTTGGTCTATTGTAATGTAATATCTCTTCTAGTCCTCAATACCAAACACATACTTGTAAAAAAAATCTGCTTTTTCTTTACTAATGCATGTTCCAATAGAAATCAAACGCTCTTCTCATTGAAATGTGTTATCTTGTATTATTAATAATGAAGAAACCTAGAACATATTTTGAAGGGAATTGCAATGAAATTTCTTCTACTTAGTTGTTTGGTTATGCAAGTTAAACTGATTGATAAAATTAGCTCTGTCATCTATTGATAAGTGTAATTTATACATTTATCTAATTCATTAAATTAAGATATTTGGTAGTGCTTTTGATGAATTATAGTAGTATATATTTTGTTTCTTATATAAAACTCTGTGATTGGACATGAAATTGGAAGAAATGACAAAAATATATGAAAAGTAAAGGAATTCCAATGTTCGGAGACCAAAGTGCAAATATTCAGAAGTTGATTAGAACCACATATCGATGATTGAAAAATGTAAAAAGTCAATTAACTGCAAATAAAAGACAAATGAATAAAGTCATCCTGAAGAAGGACCAAATTAACACTGGAAGAAGTGTAGTTGGTCCTAAAGTAGCTTTAGCCATGCGCACATTTAAGGCATGATCTACAGGAATTGAGGCCGTTCTTCTTGTGTGTTGCGCACACAACCTTAGCCAAGAATCCCATGTGTGTCGACAGACGGGATGTAATTTTTCTTTTGTGATATACTCTTTTGGAATTCAAATTGGACGTGATTTTTGACCTAATTTTGATGATTGTAAGAATAGAAGAATAGCTAAACATTAAGGAATCTCTCTCTAGCCTCTCTAATAAATTTAAATCATAAAATCCATAAAAAAAAAAAAAGATGCGAATTCACCATATTCAGGAGAGAAGATCAAACCTAGTAAGGAATTGAAGGCAAATTACATCAAGAGCTTGAATATTTAAAACTTGAAATTGAAGATCAAGATTTCTTGTATTCCATGCTTTGGGTGATAACTTTTCATAATTCTTTTTGTTATATCTTAGACATCATGCTAGGCTAAATGCTTTCGATGAAGATGAAACCTTTGTTTAGTTGTTTTGAATTCAAATACTAATAGTTTAGTTTAGTTTTTTTTTTATTTTTTTTTTGGGTTAATCTTGCATGCTTTGTTGCATTACTTGATGTGTCCACCAATTAGGTAATTGGTTATTTGTTATAGTTATGGGAGGTTCATAATAAGTTAGAACCTTGCAAGATTAACATGTAGGCAATAAACGTTAGGAATAGAACGTATGGCGTGTACGATCACATATATAACTGTGTAATTAATGCATTATTTTGTATATAAATTCGGAATAAGAATATGATCGGGTTGTGCTTATAACATGTTTGACTTACTTGGGGATGCGACAGAAGGCTATAAGAGGTAAGATAGGCTAGGCTCTTCCATAGCAGACAAGACTTTAAGTTAATGGCTTGGATATAGATGTCGAGTCATTACACTTGCGATATTTGGTCCTCTTACTGGCATACGACTAGCCAAATCAAGCACAAGAACTAAGACGCGTGATGAGTTTGTTTCACTCATGATTTTCGCACAATTTTAGCTTGATTAAATGCTAGATTTTATGAGTATAGAACGTTTTTGATGTGTTTGTTAGTGTTGTTTTGAAAATTAGGAGAAGTGACGTGAAAAGAAGTATTAAAGTGGACGAAAAGGTCAAAAACAAGGAATTAGGGCAGAAAGACGGTGCTTAGGCGCTGCACTCATAGCGCCTAGGCGCTACGAAACTGAAAAAAGATGAAATTTGGATTCGAGAGGCAACGCCCAGGCGCCACCATAGCGCCTAGGCGCTGAAGACATAGCGCCCAGGCGCTATAGCCAGCTCTTAGGCATTGTCCTGTAGCGCCTAGGCACTGCGATGGACAATCTAGGGCGCGTTTTTTTGGGCCGTTTTTAAATACATAAAAATCCTACTTCTACATAAAATGGAGGGGCACCTATAAATACATATTTTCTCATACTTTTGAGGGGTTCTTGATATATTGGAGAGAAAACAACAAGAAGGGAGATTCAAAGGAGAAATTCAAGAAGATTAACACCAAGAATTGAAGATTGAAAGCATTCACTGGAAGAGGAAGGAGATCTTAGTGCAAGAATTTCACTTTTTCTTCTACATCTTTATTTCAAACTCGGTGATGTATTCTAAGACAAATTCCTACTTTTCTTCTTGTATTATGAGTAGTTAAATTTATTGTTAGGGGGAATAATGTAACCAATTGGGATCTTTTACATTTTCTTATTAAGACTTTCAGTTTTTAATTCTTCCATGTGTTGATTTTGTTATGAGTTGAATGCATTAAATTATCTGATCAATAATTTGATGATTTTTGTGAATTCTTTACAAATAGAGATATGAGTTTAAGATTTAGACCATGTAGTAAAATCCAATACATTGGTATAACGAATAGAGATACCTATACCATTTATTGTGGTCATAATTGAATTCCTAAAACATAGAACTCGTTTAACTAAGTTGAATTTGCATAGAGATATGAAATTTAATTAGTTGAATAGGCTCAGTGAGAACTCGAGAGGGGTAAATTGAATACAATAGGAGAATTCGACCGAGCGCTACATTAGAATTGAGTTTTAATTTGAGATGTAAAGGTGCTCAATTGGTGAAGTTATTCTACCCTAACATCCATTCATTATTTAATTCTCCAACCAATCGTGTGAACATTCATTTATGTTCTAGAATTTAGATTAAAATCCAGATTTTATAACCTTTGATTTGCATTCGTCAAATAGTAGTTAAAGAAAGATTAAATTAAGTGCTAGAAAATAGTCCTTGTGGGATTGATAACCGGACTCTTAGGTCCACTATTACTTGTTACGGGTCGTACACTTGCAAAACAAAAGTTTACGACTACGCGCTCTAAAGACTGTGCTAGGAATTATATGAAGATTAAGGTGCAGTTGAACCTTTTTATGTTTTGTTACTTGTTGCTAGTAGGTTGCTCTAACTTATGTATGCCCAGAGGGAAAATATTGTAGGAAACACTTAAATTAATTTTTACAGTCTTGTGAGTCTTGCAAGTTTTATGGATAAAGTTTTAACTATTTACAAGAGTGACGAAAGAAATGAAAACAAGCGAATCATACAGATTTTCTAGTGGTTCACTGTAAATGTGATAGCTAACTTCTCACAGATTTTCTAGTTTAGGTTTTCATGAAGAAGATGATTACATGATGATCTCATGCCTCTAAGTCCCTATCTGACAAAAAGCGATCCCCTAAAAATTCTTCTCACATCTAGGAATATTAGTGTGACCTCATATAAATACCGAATTCCCAAGTATGATAAAGTATATTGGATCAACTTGTAGTCGAGGGCTTAAGTACCCATGGTTTGGCTCTGCCCTGTCTAAGACAAAGAAATGATTACAGTGAAGGTCTCGTGCCTCTCGATCTTTCTTTCAAATAAAATGGCTTTCTAAAACTCATTTATAATATCGTTTGAACAATAGGACAACCTAATGCATATATGAGATTTTAATTAAGAATATAGATATAGGCAGATTTGTGTTTAAGGGATAAGTGTATAGTATGATTAAGTATAAAAATCGAACACCAAAATAGTATCATTTAGTGTTGGAGTAAGTACAACTTACAGAGAAGAGAAGAAACAAGGAAGACAATATGTCGTATATTCAATTACAGAAACTAATACAGAACTCACAAAGACCATGTCTGTGACTTTTGAATTTTTTCTTAACCAATATTTTCACAAAACATTTAAACCCTTGTCTAAGAAGTGGCTTTTCCCTGTATACCATTGTAATTTCCATAAAACGACGCTTTCATCAAAAGATGAGCAAAATAAGCCAAAGTATGGAACCTGCAGTGTTTGAAAATGGCATTAGGCTTCTGTAGGCTGAGTTAGGCAGAGAAGGGTAAGCATCAGGTGGAGGAAGTTTGCATTCGTCCCCATTGAAATAAATTTTTCGAGGAAAAGCCCATCCCTGTTTCAGTGTAAATGTGTCCTTGTCCTTCTTTAGAAGTACCTCAGTTTGAACATTTCCAGAAGGTCCAGCTTCCATCAACAAGTCATTGTAAAACTTCATGCCATAGAACATGGCAGTATCGTCTGCATATCGTTCATGAAGTGAAAAATTAGTCTTACAGACTATATTAATCCAGAAAGTTTAGAAAAGTGAAGCAACGATAATAATTAATCCCAAAAAAAAAAAAAAAACTAGAATAGAAACGAATGAATTTATGTGGTTTGTAAGTTAACAATGACAATGACCAACTATGAATTGTTCCCAATAAAGGATTAATCAATGTTCAAGTTATGACTAGATTTAATGGAAGATCCAAAGCAGCAATATCTTTACTCAATGTTAGTTTTGGTCTATGTCTCCTCTTTATATGTGTTCTACAAAGATCAAATCCCAATTATGCACGGAAGCCCTTTTATGTCTATGCAAAGAATTTTTGAACTGCACAGGTCATTGTTACCTTAATTTCTTTTAATCTGCACCTCCAGCACCATCTCTACTTGTTAGCATATATATATTCAGTTCACATTACCGATTTTAGTAAGAAACATAACTGTCTTAACATTTTTATTTCCTCTGCCTTCATCTTATAGTTATCCTCTAACATCCAACAATCAGAACCATAAACCACAGCAAGAACTTATACGGGATACCACAGGAACTTATGTGAACTTCAACTCCCCATTCACGAACTAAGCTTCTTTTTCTCTATCCAAAAAACCATTTTTGTCATACTAAAACTTCATTGAATCATGAATATCGAACAAATAATAGGCATTGATGCATAATTCAAGATCGAGTCTTCAAACATTATGTATTTTCACGTGAACTTACTGATAGACTGATAGGGGATTAAAGGCTTGTAATCGAAGCTGAAAACTCGAGTGACATTGTTGAGACTGGGATGCTGAGCCACGAGCGTCCACTGTGTATAATTCATTCTGTAATTGAAGTTAGTTATGGCAATTTTTACGCGCCAGTAGTCCTTGTAATTGATCTTCACGTGCCAATGCACGCGTATCGGACACATATGATGAGTGCATTGGAGAAGTGGTGCATTATCCTTTCTTGGAGTGTTTATTCCCTCCTTTTTCAGTTTGTATGAATCGCTCCTGCATTGTGTTGAGATCACAGAAAGATAGTCAATCAAGAAAGTAATTAGAAATCTTTTCAGCATTAATCTAAACAAAAATTGTTCCATACTTATTATCGATGCACTAGACTGTCTCATAAGCACGTGAAACTCATTTCTGATACGAGCACAATTGTGCGTTTCCCACCTGTTTGATCAAATGGACTGCACGGTACTTGGCAGTTTTAAGGAAACATAATCTTCACTATGCTATCCAATTCTATTGAGTAGAGCGCATCAAACATGCTCTTATGATTCAGTGAAGTATATAAACATGAGAATGTGCTCGACTAACAAACTCATGTCTTGTTTGGTAAGGTGAAGTTGCATAGTATTAAACAGTATTAAGAAGAAAAATAGGGTTAAAATTATGTTCATTGTATTCTCCGATTCTGTTGAATAGAGTGCATCAAACATCCTCTTATGATTAGGGCCGTATATAAACATGAGAATGTATTTGACACAAGCACAATGTGCATTGCGCTCCAGTAACAGACTAATGATTTCCTCGCAAACTTGAACACGAGATAGGAAAGTATTTATATGCTCTTCAGAGAAACTAATCATAAAACTTGCACTTCGAAATTGAAACTATGGCTCACTTTATGCAATCTTTCTTGCCGTGGCAACCACAAGAACAAGATGGGCAAGGAGTGATTGTACTATTGTAGAAAGACGAGAAGGAAACACAACAGCTTGGATACTTGGATGATAGGAATTGTGAATAAGTGCACGTCACGTTCCATGTCACTGCAGAAAATAAATCCAAACCAGTATGATCACTTAACTGGATATTTGATAAATATCAAGAGCATGTTTGGTATGCAATATTAGACATGGCAAAATCTAAGTACTGTCTAATCTTCTTTACCATACACGCAAAATTCTTTCAAATGAGACAAATTCAGAAGGAACAAGAATAGCTCAAGAGGTAATATTGCTCACTCAATGCTTGAGTTTTTCTTCGATGATCGGGAGTAAGATATACGGTGGAAGGCACAATTATAGCAGGGCCGCAAGAATATCCCGGGCCGGGACCAAGCAGGACGAAATTTTTGGGGAGTTTCACGGTCTTATTTGAAGTTCCAGAAAGTCCAACGCTCACTTGAAAGGCCGAAACTGCCCCTTCAGGGTCTTGTCCGTATGACGACACTACCCCAGCCTTACAGCAATTGGCAATCTGTTGATTATAAGGTACCCCAGGAAGCAAATCCACAACTATGGGGGTTCTCTTACAACAATGTGGTACATTTCCTTTAAATTTTGAACAATCTCCTTGTTCCGTTGCTTGTGCCCCTACTATTGACCATATCACTTCTTTCTTTTGCCATTGCCATCCTACAGTCCAACCGGGGCTAGGGATGTGTCGATACATTTGAAAGTTGTTCATTGTCACAAGTGCCTGAATCAAGTATCACGACTTTATTTCTTCAAAATTTAAATTAAGATGGTGAGTACAAAAGATTCATGCAGCGACCTAATGGTCCCCAAGATATCAGGAATAAGGCTTAGTTTATTAAGCAAAATAAATATAACTTACCACATATCCATCCGCCGTCCAAGATATGACATCCCATTTGATTGTAATGTTCCCAAATGGATCCAAAGGATCATATGCATCTAAAAGGTCAGTGAAGTTTAAAAACATAAACAATAAAATGATTAATAATCCGACTAATGATAAGCCTAAAATGTAATAAATAAGAGAAAATAAAATAATACCGGCTTTAAAAAACACCAAAGCTATGAAGATAGCAAATAAGCTGTATTTCTGATGCATTTTCTGATAGAATTTTAGTAGAATTTCAAGTCTTTAGTGAAGAATATTTACACTTGACATTGCAAAAATGAAAATTCTGGGTGTTAAGTAGAAAGTGCTGAGGAAGCATGTTGATTGCACACCTAATGGTGGTTGGTACTTCATATGATTTTTGTATTATTAAATATCCATGTTATCTCAAAGTTGTCTGTTTGTAATACATGCTTCAAAAGGAAGATAAAAAAGTGAGAATAAATGAGACATTCGAACACAATAGCTAACAAGTCGTGATAGTGGTGCTATGTCGTTTTTTCCAAATAATTGATGCAAACAATGAACCCAAAATCAGTAGTAACTAATCATGTGTTACAAATCAATGAAAGGTTTAACAAGTGAAATAATTTGTATAGATCTTAAGCCAAAAGTCCCACTATGAAAAATCGAAGAAAAGAGAAGTTCTATATAGAATACGAAAAACAAGACCAAGTAAAGAAGTCAAATTGAAGACAACAAGCAATTCGATAAAGACACCCTACCTTTATTTCTAATGAAAATATAGGGAGATGTTGAAAAGGTTGGAGCTTCAACTTTCAAGCCATTAGAGTCATCACTACTCCACATTCCCATTTGACAAACACTAGCTTATAATAGGATCATGATATAGGTTTAGACTTTATTTTCGAAATCGAGTACGTGACCTACGTTGGGACAAATGATGCTTCTCCTCGCAATTATTAGTAATGAACACTCGAGTCAAGAGGTAGTAGAGTTGGAGAAAAAGATATTTGTAAGAGTTGAATTCCATACATCAATCTATACCATCATTAGTTCTTTGAAAGACACGTTCATTGGAAAAGTTTGATTTTGGATATCAACATATACCATCATAGTGGATCTTCTTTTAGGACGACACTAATTAGTTTTCATTAGAATCAATCAAAACAGCCTCGGAATAAAACTTGCAAACTCTCCAAGCAACTCCATATCGACATCGCTGAATACCCAGCAAGAGCATGGGCTACAAAGTTTGCCTCACGCAAATTTTCCAAGTGGCGGTCCGATGGGATCAATACGATATTACAATGTATTGGAATATGTCATAATTGAGAAATAATATAAATTGTAGAGAAAATATATAGTGGCACAATGATGATTGGGCTGGAATAATACTGATGGGCTTGTGGGCTGGATCACTTGTCACTTGAACTTGGCTAAATGGACTGACCGGATTGTGATAAAAACGTGTTTTGTTTAAAACCTGTTTTTGTTAATAAGAACAGATGCGCCAGATCTTGCCAAGTGTCACCTCTCTCACCGTTGATGATTGACCTTTCAGCTGCTTCTATTTGTATCGACTTCTAGGGTTTGGACGTGTAAAATGATTCATGATTCACCTGCCCCCTTTCTCTCTCGAACTCTCTGTTCTCTCTCATTCACTGGTTCTTCGTTTCATTTTAGCACTCAAACAAAAGCCCTTTTGTAGATTGATTGTTGTTACAGCCCATAGTAGATCTTGAGTGGTTTCATATGGTTCGATCCTTGAGTGGATGTTCGATGTACATTTTGTGGGTTTATTGCATGCGAAATCTTGGTGTGATTTCACCTGAGTGCCATGAACTGTGAACTGTACTCTTTTGGATCCCGGCTAATATAGTGATTTCTTCCGGTGGCGGAAGCTCAAAAGGAGATTAGGGGCTCCGGTTCCGAACCTCTTGCCTTAGGGCGAAACTATTGTGTTCTTGCATTTTTCTTCTATGTTTTCTTTCGTTTCTCAGTGTCTTATTTCATATTTTTGTGAAATAAAACGGCTGATTTTTCTTGAACTTATCGTAACATAAATTTATATGATAAAGCATATTCCAGCATCATGTCTCGGATATGCTCCGAACCTCCACAGTTTGACATTGATATTCACTTAAAATATATTTAAACTATAAAGTCATCACCTTATCAAAGTTAATGAAGTCTAATTTTTTACTCTCTGACGTAAATTGGTTGGCTAAGTTACTGCTGCTTACTATTAAAATCTGCAATATTTTTGCTTACAAATGAAAAAAAATAAAATAAAAGGTACAGAATGGACCGATCAGTTCAAGTCCACAACCGAAACCTAGCAAGTTGTAATAAGATATGGTTAAATTACTGGTAACTTGAATGTATCGTCTATGACGCTTAGATTTTATTTCACTTTCATTCTTAACTTTGTTTTCTTTACATTTAGCTTTTTAATATTTCATTTTAGAAGCATTTTCGTCTTTATTTAGCTGTGAAGTTTGCTATAAAAAAATGTTACCTACAAATTCAAATAAACAAAAATATATATGTAAGAAAAAAAGGGGAAAAAAGAGGAGGGAGAGAGGGGAACCCAACGAAGACAAATGGAGGAAAAAAGTACTTTGAATTACTTTCCTTGAAACAGCAATATACGCGTGTGTTTGAGCACCATTTTTATTGAGAACGTATTTTATAGCAGTGATTTTTTTGGAGAAGTATGGTTAAAAATCGAAAAAGTTTTGAATTTATATGTAAAATTATTTTATTAAGAAAATGTATGGTTGGAAATAAATTTAGAGAAAAACAAGTTTTTAAAAATAAGAATGAAACAGAAAAAGAGAAAAGACTGCTTTTATTATTGCTGCGATCTTTGATTGGAAAAATCATGCTAGGGATTGCAATGGCCTCTGTATCTGCCTTACCAGCTTTTACGAACTAGCACTATGAGTGCCTACGCTAGCAGCTGATCTCAGATCCATCCTCGTCCAATGTTGCTATGTTGTGATGTTAACTTATGCATCAAGTTAATACATGTCTTAGAAGACGTTGAGATCTTGTAAAGAAGTTGCATTCGGAGCTCTTTGAATATTTGATGTCAACCTGATCAGAATTTCAACATCGACCGGTAATAACTGTGTACCATTTAGAATGTAGCACAACCAAGAAACATGAGATGAAAAGAGAGAGAATCCCGAAAACCATAGGAATGGGTGGAGTTGGTAAGTAATTCAAGATCATCACTCTCATCCTCCGCGAGGCCCGGGAGGAGGGTCGAGGAGAAAATATGAATGGCTTTCCAATCCACCAATCCCTATAGATTTCAGATTATCAGCTCCCATTTCAGATCAGTTGGCAATCTGTCAACAAAATTTATCTGCCTACAAACATGAGCCAGAGGGCATTTATGCAAATATATATAGTGGAGGTGGGTGTGGCTAAAGAAGATTGGATAAGGATCAAACGTGTAATTGTATTTCTTTGTTTTATTCGCAATTTGTCAAATTCAATAATTTCATGTGAAAGAGATGGGATATAATTTTCTTTAGGAAAAAAAAATTCAAAAAAAAAAAAATTCAAAACAAAACAAAGAGGTGGGATAAATATCATCTACGTAGTCACTGAAATTTCAAAAAGTTCTTAATTATGCCCCTATACTTTAATTTAGTTTCAAATTTACGACAATTAATCTTCCACATAGTTGATATGCAGCATATCAATGTACCGCATCATAAAAATGTTAAAATAAAAACATACATATTTTGTTGTCTTCATTTAAAGATATTGTCATCACTGTAATTTTTATTGTTATTGTTTCTTGAGTATCTTTAGCATTATGAAAAAGATTGTTATAGTATGATTAAAAAGTAAACAATTTTTATCAATGTGAGGGAAAATAAGTGACTAAATGAGATGGAGTAGAAAATTTGAAACTATATTGAAGTTTAGTGACTCGATCGAGACAGAGTAAAAAGTTTAGTGACCTAATTGAGATTTTGTTGAATGGTCAATGACCAAAAATGATCATTGGCAAACAATGTCTAGCAAAAGAAGTACGCATGTTTCCAAAAATACTAGTTGGAATATTTTTAGTTTATAATCTTCTAATCTAATCTAACTACATATAAAAGAATGGGTTTTGGTTGCTGTTCATAAGCTGATTGGCCATCTAAGCCAAGCCGTGTAGGAGTAAGTCGTGTTAGTTGAGCCGTTTGGTAGTGTGCTGGGTTAGTTTTCCTTTTGTTTGTGTGATTCTAGAACATTCACGAGTTCTTTCGCTTTTCTCTTGTCCATGGTTCCTCTATCTCTTAAACATATTTTCCTCCATTTTTACAGGCAATCTCAATCTCTCTCTCTCTCTCTTTTCATTTTTTCATATTCAAATCTGCTCTCATTTTGTCTCTATAGTTCTTCCTTCTGCCCACGAAAATCACCGCGTCTGCAATCTCCTCTTTTGCACTATTGGTATGTTGGTAGATATTATTTGTGGTGAACCCTAAATCGTTATTCCTCTTCATTTCTTCCACCGACCAAAATTGTAGCTCCGAAAATTCAATCGATGATATCGTTTCTGCTTCTTTATCGCTAAAAATTCAAATCTACTTGTTGAATGAGGATTTGGCTAAGTAGAGGAGCAATTTTAGTTTCTACATATCGAAAGGTATGTATTTCTCATTTTTTATAGAGCATAAATTGTGAACTTTCTCTAAATCATCGGTGTTTTGCTTTACTGACCATTGAAGCTAAAATTCTTCACTCATACTACATTATTTTTACTTTATTGGTTTTTGTGAATTTTTTATTGTGCCCTTGATTTGTTGTTTGTTGCTTTGTAGATCATAACCTATTTAGTTTTTTATACAAAAAAATGATTTTATTTATATATTACTGTTGATTTTTTTTTTTTTAATTTTTCTATCTGTGGATATTTATTAATTGGGTAAAACCTATTTTGTGCATTTTCCTACAAAGCCTGATTGATCTATACGCTTTGCATGCGAGTTTGTTGTTTATTTGTTATGTCTTCAATGAGGAACGAGTGGGCGAATGTGGTAAGAAATGATTTTTTGTGTATTTGAGAGATGGGGTGTTTTTGGGAAAGAGAACTTGCCATTTGGACCTCCGACTTGGTTGTAGCTGAGAATTTGTCATCTCCAAAAGTTTTGATATTTCACCAGCAACTGTTGATAATTAATTGGATTCTGATGTTATGAGGAAAAAAGTCGATTTAACGCTAAGGGTTTTACTTAAATTTTCTATTCTCAAATAAAGAGTTGGTTCGAATTTAATTTTGTGAGGCTTATGTATATTTTATT